AGGCCCATTTAGAATTTCACACCGCACACTGATCTACAATCGACCTCGGGGTATCAGTAAGAAACAGCACAGCGCTACCACTAAGCAGCTTCTGTCAAAAAAGCTGTAGGGTGTGATACTTTACACCACCTTCCTCTCTCACATGCATGCTAACATGTGATTCTAAAAGCTCTTCGCTGCCCTAGCATCAGCCTTCCAAAGCTAAGCTGCCCGTTTTGGGATCTTGCATTATGCGTTTATATGCGTTTTAAAATGCGTTTATTAATATAGCACCTGGGTTTCTGCAAAATTTCAATGATTTCAGGTCTTTTCTTCCCCTCTCGCCTCGCTGACGGCTATCAATGCTATCGTGTTTGGCGTACATGGCTCAGTTTGCCGGGAGTTCTCGAACCCGGATTCCCTTCGCAGCGCCATTTCTTTCGCCGGTGCTGCCGCTGGCATGCCTGCAGAGTATTATTGGTAAGTGTTATATTCCGCGATCTTATGTTGAGATAACAGTTATATGGGAGTGAGCAGTAGGAGGTAACAGATAAGGTTAATTTGGTGCAAATCTGCGGCCTAGCAGCCTGCCGTAGAGGCTCTTAACCTAGCCGAGAGAGGAACCATAGACAAGGGAATCGGGCTCGAGTAACTCATCCCATTTTCTCCTAAGCTCACAAAACTTGGGGCAACCCGGTGTTGCTACTGTTTGTCGGTAGCCATTTACCACCTAACTTGGTTCCATTCGACTTACAACCTCAAAAGTTTAGTTCTCGCTGCAATTGCATCAACTCTATTTATTTTCTCAACTATTTAATCAATTTGTTTCCTGCTACTACAACAACTATTCATTCATCCAATTAATAAGGAATATAGCTTTTAGTACAGTACAGTTGTCGATGCCCTTTACCTGTTTCACTTTTTGCGCTAAGGTTCCCATAAAATAGAATTTCGGGAAAACTTCGGCGTGTTGGGTTCTGAAAGCCCAAATCGCTGCGCTCCTTTGATTCCTACGTGAACGCAATTCTTTCCTATAAAAATTCTGAAATGACAGCGCGTAAATTTATTCAAGCAGGGATAGCGAGAGCGAAGATATATTATCGCCTACCTGTTGGGAGTACACTCTCTAGTTATCCATCTTGTTCATTTCTTTTAATAAACTCCACAGAACCGGTCTTGAGCAATGCATTGGAGGGATGGGCTTTTTATCGACTTCTTCGAGAGATTTCGCGATCAAAAATTCAAGAAATTATTTGACGATACCACCCATACATCTGGTAAACTTGGAAAGAAACCACTAGCAAACAGAAATGATTTATGGGTTACTTGTAATCTAGGAAAAACATAGGCTTCGGGTTTTCGTGATTACACTGGCAATAGCGAAAGGCCTGAACTTGAGGAAGGTTTGGGGGAAAAAGACGTTTCGAATCATCCGCGACTCGGTGGCGCAGACCCACCTTGGATCATGGTCAACACAGCCTTGACCATTTCCCAGATGGACACCTTGATCGCAGCAAGGATCTTGTCACCAATCGGTAGTGGACATGACCCTGATATCGCGAGCGGGTTTAAACAAACTTTAGTGACTTTTCCTCAGCCCACGAATTATCCATAAAGCTTCTGAGCGAATCACAGATGTAGGGAGGCATATCTGGATCAGTAGAGCGGTGTGTGTTTGATTGTGCCAGAGATGCTGAGAGGGTTCTGGGTTTCACTGCTAGAAGAAAAGAGAAGTAGGCGCAGTAGATACATATACGCGTTGTCTGCAGCCATTTTTAAGGGACTCAGATAGGTAGAAAAAACCGGTAGAATCGCCAGGGGTTGATAAAGCTGGGGGTGTGCGTTATGGGGGGGGGAGCTTAAATAGGAAAACCTTGGATGTGAGGTTGTCTACATCGCCAAGATCCGTTTGCTTTGATCCGTTCCAACTACATGAAAGTTCTTTTTGACTACATGAAGAACCAGTCTAGCCTGCGAGGGTAACTGATCGCTTTTGTTGGTTGAGACGACCTCTATTACTAGTCTGACCCGCGCGTTGTTTACGAGGACACAGAGTTAGGGACCTTGATGCCACGTTTCGAATGAAATTATGTTTGTAAATAGATAGTAATACTCAATTGGTGGTATGTCCTTTATAATTCCCTGGCGAAATAACTGTGATTCTTTAGCCGCTCCATCAGAGCGATTGAAGCTGCTGATCCAGATCCAGACGGATGCGGCTCACACGCGGTACCAATCACCTCTGCATGCAGCTCGAACAATTATCGCCAAGCACGGCTATATGAGCCTCAACAGGTTCGTGCCATCAATCGATAAAATTAGTCGAATTTTTCCTCTACAGGGTGGTTTGCCAGTTGGGAGCCAAAATTGTCCTTTCCCCAATGGAGTCATGAGACGTTTGCGATTTATTTGACCCTCGCCAGAACTATGGTGATATTTCGCGAGCGCCACACACGTGGGAGACGGCATTGAAATGGTGGACAGGGTGAAGAACTGCGCATCGTGTAGAGACCCGGTACGAATGTCGACGACATCGAATGTGGCTGTAATAGGCGATGATGTTCCATCAAAGCGATTCGTTCTGATGTCAAAGCATATTTTGTTGATTGACGAACAACGACCTTATCCAAAGAACATTTTTAGCAAACGGCGCTAGGGGGAAATATTTGAAAAATATTTTTATCATCTTCCTTTCTTTGGAATGACGTGAAGTGAACCGCTCATGTTACAATGGAAATTTTTGGAGTCGCAGAACGGGGGGAAGGCATGTGGCCTGCCTATCTGTAGAGAGCTCAATTTTTGGGTTCCTCCGAAAATATTTCCTGTCCTGGTTAAAAAAAAGAACAAAAGACAAAACTTTCACTGCTGGTCACTCCTTTGATTGGGACCCAGTCTTAGGTATTTTTTGACCGGTGTCTGCCAAGACAATCGCAAATCGCCACTCTGGTGAGTGTCGCGTACGACATCGTTCCCGCTAGTGATTCTTTGTGTAGTGGATGGCAAAAATAGGCAGTGTTCGACAAGAAATAGCCAGAAATGTCTACGATGTCGTAGTACACATGAATTTTCTAATTGGCAGGTTCTATCCAAACCAAGAAAACGCCGCGCCCGCCTCCGCGCGCGACTTAGCGGCGAATTACGGTTTTCTTGACCGTCTTCCATATTCGACCCGAGGGCCATAGCGGCATTAAGCGGTGTTACTTCATCTGATCTAATTACTTTATAGAATGAGCAAGTTTTTTTGAAAAACCGGGTAGAATATCTGAAAATCACTGTTTTTAGAGGGTTCTTGGCGACGTTACTCCGTGACTGCCCTGCCTTTGGCATCTATTTTGCCTCATACGAATACATGTCACGAAGGATGAGCAAAGACGGTCAAATGGAGTCACTCACTGGTCCACAGCTCCTTCTAGCCGGAGGTGAGAGGTTTTCCCAATAATCTAGGATTTTTGTTTCGAAAATACTAGAAAATTGTCATACTTAACAGCACTAGCTCTATGTTGGCAAGCTGCCAAAGAAGTCTCTTAGTGATGATTTTACAGGTGGTGCCGGTATGTTGTCATGGTTGTTCAACTATCCAACGG